ATGTGTATAAGAGACAGTATATATATATATATATATAGTTTCGCAAATATAACAATAGTACATAGTAATATAATAGTAAAACCCGGTTCCTATTTTCGCAGTTATAATTCTGTACTTAAAAATATAATAGCCTAAGCCTACTCCTACTAAACATTAAACATGGTTACCTATTTTCTCCCTAAAAGCTCATCCACCTTTTTCAATAGACCTTTCCGGAGTGTCAATCAAACTTAACAACTGACTAATCGGAACAGCGCTAGAAATACGCTCGCGTCTTACAAACACACGTGTTGTCCCACAAACGCACGCGTTCGCCTATGTTTTAACACTGCCGTCTTGTGGGACCTTAGCAACAAAATCCAAGGGGCGGAGCTTAGCGGAAAGGTCTATTGTTTTTCTTGTTAATATATGTGCGCTTCCCTCAGCAGCCACTAAGACACGTCTGAGTTGTCGGTTTAGTCGCTCTACTAGATGCAGATTATTGTCTTACCCAAGACTAATACATTTGAAGATCAACCTTCTGCTTATTATAATTTTACAGAGAAGTATAAGGAGGTGAAAAGGCTTACCATTCACCCAGAACGTATTGCGATTGACTACGATTGTTGAACTGTTGAACAATACATAACAAATTATTTAGAAACAAGGTGAACTTAACCAAAATATATTTCAAATCAAAATTATTTTTATGTAATTAGCATTTACTCAGAACAAGATCTGAAATCCACAATAGGGTGTGGTGAAGTTTGTAGTTTAAATCAGCTTACAATTTTAAAAGTGACTGGTATGATAAAATCCTGGTATTAACGAATTAAAAACAAAACAAAAACAGAAAAACCAACACATTATAAATTAGAGAACGCAACATTTTAAACTTGTTGACATACAAGCGTAATTGCTAAGGAAAAATTATTTAAAGTAGGTCTAGATGTGAAAGTATGAAAAATAGGTTATTATAGCCAATGACGGTATTGGTGAACATTGTGAAAAATTTTCAGCCATTTTAATGTTTCTGTTGTAAAGCAAATAAACTTTCACAATCATTCGAATTCAAAATGTTAATATTGCACATAAATAAATAGAATGTTATAAATTCACTTACACGAAGACAATATTGCTCTGACTTGATTCTGGCGGATTCCATATCAATTCTAGCGGCAAGACTTTATCTTCACTATTCGTATGAGTTGTGCTATCATAAGCAGCAGTACATTCAAGTAACTTACTATTAGTCTGTGATAGCCATGTACCTACGATCTGCCCATTTGCATTTCCCTGTCGAGCTTGTAATAAAAATCCCTTAATGCTTGAATACGACGCAGAATCTATCGTCACTGAAAAGGAAAAAAAATTAGGCCTATTGTACCTGAAGCACAAACGAGTTCTGAAATCTAGTGGTTCGACTCCGGCTTTTCTCTGTGTAATAGCAAAAGAAAAAACATAAGAAGCACGAGAACTGTAACGTTGCAGCACAATTCCAGAACAGACAGCCGCTGCGGCATGACCACTCTTTCTGGCATTGTACTTGTCAGCCACCAGCGATCATGAGCAAACGCAGACGTTCCTCCCCCAAAATCTTCGTTCACAAAGTCAAGCTAATGATAATATTTGTTTTTCGTTTCTTTTTTTTTAATGTCAGATTCCTCTTCTGTTACTTACGTTTCAATTTATACTATTCATTTCAATATTCCGCTTGCTGTTTCTTGGGTTTTCCCCATGCCTTAAAATCATTTTAAAGACAGTAAGTTATTTACAAAAACTTATTATATAGACAAAACTTACTTCTTCACACTCGCAGATACCTCTTCTTTAACGTTATTTATATTTACAGTAAGACCT